CAGGTGTATTTAGAGGATCACAGTCATCCTTTACTGGGCCAATTTAATTTCTTTGACGCTCCCTGTAATCAGTATTTTTATAACGGTTTTGTGTAATTTTTAAAATATAATATCAGTAATATAATGCTGTCTGAAGCACACTAGTAGCTTTGCAGATGTATATAAAGACAGTTCTTGCCTAGACTATGTTATGTGTAACAGTATGCAGCATGCACTACCCCAGAGATGTAGTAAATGAGAAAAGTAGAAGGATGGACACACAAATCCTTACAAAACAATGGATGTGTTTTCCAGATTTACAAAGATAGGTTGTTACAAAACGTGTTCAGTGTATGTAAAACCAAAAATGTTCATGCAGCACAATGGAAGAGCCATCTGCAGTAACTTTTGAAGAGCATCTGGGAACGTCGCATAATCACAGACAGATGGGAACAGGGTGATAGCTTTACCTCTGTGTAGGTGCCACAGAGAGTAGTTATGGGACTGCAGCTTTACTGTTCCATTTCTTGACATTGTGTTAAAAAAGTGGCCATAGGAAAGGAGAGAACCAGCATGAGATGTGAACAGCTCAATCTCCTTAGCCTCACCTAGCTTATCTGCAAGGTGATACTAGAAATTAAATGGCTACCAGGGAAAGGCATAAGAAAAAGCGGCATTTGAAAGTTTAGCAGACTGGTTCAGAATAGGAAAAAGGAAGAGATTTTGTGGTTTCTTTCTAAACCAATGAGACTGTTCAGCCTCTGGAGTGACTGTTCCTGTGAAACAATGATTTCTCTAGTTCCTGAAATCTTCAGCATGACAACACATCTCTCTGAAGACAGGCTCAAGACATGGACAACTCTGTGAAAGTCCAACTAGATGCTTTTCCCTATCTTTTCCAGCTTAAAAATCAAGAAATTTATGAAAAAAAAAACCCAACAAAGCTTTTTTCCTTGGAATTTACTCCAGCTTCTTCCAGAGATGTAAAATATTACTTGAAATGCAAGTTCTCCCCTTTTATCATTCAGGCAGCTTCTCCAGGTCCTTATGCCAAGATCAGAAAATTAATGCTATGGGATTTTTATCCAATAGATACTATTTGCTAATGGGACACAACACACCTTAGTTTGGAATAAATGCAGATTTGGATCCTCCAATCTTCTTAAAGATACAACAGCTTTTACCAGCTGAGCAGTTGGTCTCCACTCTCAAACAAACTGAAATTAGATTACATCCTATCTACTAATGTTAGTATTCTAGTCTGTCTACAAGGAAACATAGTGTATTGTATTGATCCCTTGGATTTTTATCATCTTGGACAAAGGAGCTATTTATCCTTTACTCTTGACATGCTAACTTCCATATAAGTGATCTTGAGCTTTGTAGCGACATGGTTTTATACACCATGGAACAGGTTAGAAAGGCATCAGATAGTATAGGATAACAGAAAACTTAGTAAATTACCTCTGTTGTAAGAGCTGCTATTTCCTTGATATACTGTGCTTTATTTTCTTCTAAGTACTTTGGTTTTAAAATTGTGTTTGATAAATAAGCTTTAGACTCTCAAATCCTTCTCAATATTTAGCTGCAAAGAAAGAATAATTTCATTGTCACAGAGAAGACCATCTTTTCTGCATGGCAAATTATTTTTTTTTAGTCCATCAGTTAGCTAATCTATGAAAAAATACAGTCTTTACCTCCAGATCTTATCTCTTCTATGTCCTCAGACCATCATGGTTACAGCAGTCGTGTTGCTGAAAAGAACTTGTGTTTAAAGGTACTTTAATCTTCCTAAGCAGTAGATGGCAGTGCATACTAAATATGTTTCTTACAGTGCTAAATACCACCAAAATAACACTGTTTAGCAAGAACTTCATCTATGTATAAGTGTAGAACATAATATAATTTGTAGTATGCTTAATAAGTTTAACTTCAATTATATTTATTATGTTTAATGCTTAAAACTACTATAATAAGAATGCACTACTTTTTTTTTCTGCTAATTTAGTTATATGTGACTGATGTCATAAAGACCTCTTCTTAAGCTTACATTTACCATTTTCCATTGTTTTGTTTCTTTCAGCTCACTTTCTCTAGGCTTTCACAGAGAAATTGTAAGATCTCTGTCTGGTTTACTTTTCACAAATTCAGTTACAAAAGGACCTTCCTGCTCTCAAATAGTGATGTTAAAGAATTTGTTTCCTTTCATTCTGGCCATAGAGGACCTTTCAAATTCTTAATCCATGATCCCTTAAAAAGTAGCCTATTTAGCCGACAAGGGGTGTTTAAACTGCTTAAAGTTGCGGTTCTTTAGGCTGTACAGGCAATGCTTGTATACGCTATTAGACAGCACAGTAATGGGCAGAGTGAGCAAATGGGCTGTTTTGAATGAAAAACTGATTTAGTGTCTCTGAGTGCTCGAACAGCAGTTTGTGTGCTTGCAAGCAGCAGCACAGATAAATCTATTAGGAGCACAACCCAGAGCTGCAATGCACAGCTCCCCAAAACATTTAATAAGAGGAAAGATTGAAGTGTATCTGTAGTTTCTCTCCATAAACTGAGTCTGTGCAGGGTCAGAGCAAAGAGTAAATCTTTCCTCAGGAGGCTATATTTTCAGCAGAATTTAGAAAAACGTACCAGCTACTTGATTGCAATTGTCAACTCTCCTACCCCAATGTAATCTCAGCAGTATTAACATTATTATTTTGTCATAGTTTTGCCATGAATCAGAAAAGGCCTCTGTTACGGGGAAACAGGAGACTAAAGAGCTGGAAAACCTTTTAAAAACCTCTATTGATCGCTAGTCCTTTACCTCTTTTATCTCTTTCATTATAGGGTCACAACATCTTTGCTAACTTGTCCTCTAAGGACTACAGTGACCTTATGCAGCTTCTAAAGCAATCGATATTGGCAACAGACCTCACTCTGTATTTTGAGTAAGTATTGGCATTTCTTGTATTTGACAAATGAAAATTCAAAGAACTTACTCTAATGACCTATTAAATACCAATAAGGATATATAATATGAGAAATTTGTGTTTAGCTGTGGTTTAAGAGATTTAATCTAATGCTTAGTATATCTTAGGCTAATAGAAATATCTCAAGTGTCCAAGTAAGTTTTTCTTTAACATGTAACATGTCTGTATCAACTGAATGCCAGTACAATCCTAGGTTTCTACTTCAAAGCATCCCAGGAACCAGTTACAGCTCAGTCCTGTAATTCCTCCATCCCTTCTGTGATCATTTCCTCAGACATGTAAAAAATGAACAACATTTTACAATTCTTTTTCACCATTTCAGAATTTCTAAACATGTGTACTAAGAAATATTATATTTAGTTACAGACCCAGTTGCAGAGGTGATGCAAGCATACACATTGCTGTTTTGAAGACAAATTATGCCAGTTTGCATCACATGAGAACAGAGCTTAAAAAACTTGAGGGAAGTACAGTAGGATCTCTTGTACAGTTTTCTTCCTTTCCCTTGTTTGCAAATCAAATCTCTAAGCAGACTTCAGGTTGGTTCTGGATTATGTTTTTCAAACACTGTTAAATACTAACCAAGCTTTTCCCTGTGAGAATGTGTGGGAGTCCACGTGTAGTGAGAAGAGCCATGGTGTCACTGTCACGTTGCACTTTTGATATCCTCCTCTCCTGCACGTGGCTGTGGTGGACTTACAGGGAGAAGTGCTGATGAATGTGCAGTTTCAGTGTACTGCCTTCCCAGTTTTGACAATAATTCATCCTTAAGAATTTTTCTTTGATGTCCATTAGCATCCTCTCCCATACAGTGCTGGTTAGCATTTTGTTTTGGGTTTTTTAGGGTGATATACCTGGATTCTGCCCTTTTGCTGATGGCTGATACCAAGCCAAGTTTCCAGAAAACTTCAGGCAAAGCTTTACCCTGAAATTGTTCATCTACACCAACATTGTATCCGTAACTGTTAATTGTAAAAATACTAACTGGGATGCTGCAATGTTTGATTAGTCCTTTTTTCTCAGTATTTTGTTTCTATGCCAGGGGCTGCTTCTAAACAATGCTGGTAGTAGACATGGTGATATTCTTTCTTTCTTGCAAGTCTCTTTTTGGAGAAGTTGTGTTAAGCAAGGGTTATAATGAACAGTTTTATGGTAATTAACTTCTAAACATGAGTAAGTGAAGAAATTGTTGCTTGCCAACATGAAAATCCTGAGGAGTGCAAATCAGCCCTTTTAAGCAATCTCTTTTTGAAGCTGTCTCTTAGGGTCCGTTGTTATCTGGGGGGCTGACATGACAGTAGAATTTGCTGACAGCTTTAAGTGAGATACAAGGACTACAGGGATGTGTCAGTTCGGGTTTTCCTGTCTTACCACAAATAACAAGAGCTGCAGAAACATGTTGGGCTGTTGAGGAAGAGATGAGCGGTAGGAGCTGAGAGGGCAGCTGCCCTGGCACAGCCCCACGCTCCCCCCGCCCCGGCTGAGATCCTGCAGCCACTGGAAGAGCCGGCAGCAGTGCCTTGGGAAGGAACCAAGTCCAGACCCAGACGTGATGGAGCTCTCTTCCCTGCCTGCCTTAGGTTGAAAAACTACATAGTCAAGTTGTCTTTCTAGTTTTAATAAAGAGAAATAATGTCCAAAAAGGGACATCAGCTGAATTTCAGTATTCCTCTTCCTTTCAAAATTGATTTTTATGTGCTACATGAATCAGAAAACTTTTAACAGATGAGGCCTCTTTACTTAGAAGTTTGAAAATAAGTTATCTCTTCCTCTTGTGTTACCATGATTCATTAATCTGGGAGCTACTTTACTTCCAAAAATGCCTGAAAATCATTGCCTGGAAACATAAATGATTTACGCTTCTTAAAGCCAACCTATGTGAACAGATGTTTCTGCTCAAGTACCTAACTTGTTTTTTCAGTTTGCTACATCTTCAATATTTTTGTAGAAAAGTGAATTCTTGTATCAGTATTCCTAGAATGGCTGAAATTCATTATCACAAAGTCTGGCTAGCAAAACTGCAACAGAACCCCAAGCAGAGCAAGGCTTTATGACCTTCTCAGGGTACTAGTTTTCTACAGACAAACTAAAAGGTGACTTTCAGTGAAAGATCAGATGGAAAATATACTTGTAATTCTAGATAATGATGCTTGTAGATCATATAACAAGTAAAAGCATGAAACCAAAATGAAGTTTATGAAAATTGACTCAAATGATGCCTTGTGCCGCTGGGCTGCACAACACTTGGAGCTGCTCTATATAGCAAGACAAATTTCCCCTCTAGGCATGATACAACCGGAGTCAATGTTACTCAAAGCATTGCAAAACTGTTAACGTTCTCTTTATTTCTGAAGTCCTGGTATGTTATGTTTGTTTAATAACAGTAAACCTCTTTGTTTTGGGTGCCGTGCATAAGCAACCACTAGGAAACACTAAATTGTTTCCTTTTACGTGTCTGCTTTTTTCAGGTTGACTCAGACTACTACTGCATCTATTTAGATATATTTTTAAAAAAATCTGTATTAAAAAGTTTTCAGCTCAACATAAGGCCTTGAGATTCACATTTCAAGTTACTCTTTATGGATCTCTGTATTGTGAATCTGAATGTTTGAGTGGTTTGGGATGTCATCTTCCTGAGCTTTCAGCTGTAAACATTCTTGCCCATTTTTTGTCTAGTAACATGTGAATTACCCAGAATATCCAATACTTCAAAATGAAATCATTACTAAATTTTACATTGTTAGATTGGGCACTGAAACACAGGATGCAAAAATCTACTGCTCTCTGTCTTTATAGAGTATGCACTTGTTGATGATCTGCTTAGGTTAGGCTGGTTTAAGGTTTATGTGCCAGCTACTTTGGGCCACTAACTTTTTCATCGTTGCAGTAGTAATTTCCATAAGGTCATGATTTTGTGTGAGAGAACTGAGTTTTGTTTTCTGTATGTGTGACTTTACATTGTCCCAGCAAATTTTGTAATGTTTTTTTCACAAAACATAAGTGATTAGATTTCATCACATAGTCCTTATATCTCCCCATTCTAATTGCTACAGCAAAATCCACTAAGGAGAGGCCCTATAGTAGGAGTGACTGGTCATATAGCACACGACAATCACAGACCAGAATAATGGAACATGCATCATGTAAGAATCTGTTCCTTAATCAAGGGCAATGCTCAGACTGTGCTTTCAATAACCACTGCTCAACATTTCAGTCTAGCTAAAGTAAATGTAGAAAGTACAAGACTTTGCAAACTCTCTCCTGTTGGAGAATCTAGCTACATTTCCACTTGACAAAGAGAGCTCAGTCTCCTTATGAGCTGGGGCACTGGACTCAGAACACCGGTATTTGCTTTTCAGCTTTGATACTAATATGTTGTGCTACTCTGGGGAAATTGCTCCCTATTTTTGCACCTCAACTTCCACTATATCTGGGGCAAGATCTATTTCGTATTGTAATCACACTGTGTTCATTAAGAACTGCTTAGACTCTCAGGGCCATGAAAAATTACGGACTATGATGAGTCAAAATTTTGGTACTTAAAGGCACCAAACAAGCATTAACATGTTCTGGCTCATGTTTTGTCCATCTCTAAGGATGTAGGCAAGCTATTCCAGAAGACAAACCACAAGACCAAGCAGGGAAAGCTAGTTTCTAGTCAATAAGAAGGACTAACACAAGACACGTACCACTCCTGTCTCTCACTCTTCCATTCTGTGCGCTGGAAATTGCACATCTCTGAAAAACCCTTCAGGATATAGAAGAAAAACAACATTTTGCAAGGACGAGTCAAGAGAAGTGTGTATATATTTCAAGGGTGTTTCTATCCTCTTGTCTGTCCACTGCTGTAGTTGAACATTTCATGCTTCCATGGAAGGCTGATCATTTTCGTCCCATTTATTTCCTTATCTGTGGAGACCATAAATACAACATTACTTTTACTAGGCAATGCTGACGTTGATAACAGACATTTATAGAACATGTTCAGAAATTAGTATGTTTCGCTTAAATGGACTGTCAGTGTAATGACTTTAACAATAATACATGAGGTGCAATGATTGCATGTCATCCAGAGAACTGTGTTTCTGCTGCAGTGCTGCCCTGGAAATGTTTTGTTTCCTTCTCTGATAATCTGTTTTGTTGCAGGAGAAGGACCGAGTTTTTTGAACTTGTCAGTAAAGGTGGTTATGACTGGAATATAAAAAATCACCGAGAAATATTTCGGTGAGCACTACTATTTATTGCTTTCTGGATATTTCCAAGTCTAGCCATATTTGTTTAAGGAATTTCATGTATTACGGCACAAGGACTTAGACTAACAGGAGAAGGTGGCTTGTTTTTTAAAATATGATCAATGATATGAAATATATGGTATGATTTCTAAACGTTACCAAACAGCAGGGATGTAATCAGTGTGACCTCACCTTCTCCATTTCTATTTCTGTCTTCACACTCTGTCATGTTTTCTTTCCTTTCTCCCAGCCTCACCAGTTACCACTCAGTCCTTCTGCTCTTTCTCCAGAAAGCATCAATATTCTGCCTCAGGACACAAAAGATCTTTCTTGTCTGTTTCCCTGTTCCCTCCTTCTCTCAGCTGTTTTCTTTCACTGGCTGTGCTTCTCCTCTGCTCATCTACTCTGTACCTGGGAATTTGTGGATACGCAGTACTCTTCTAATCCTCAAGCATGATCTGAGCATGCGTCCTATTGAAAACCTCACACATTGTGCATGGTTTGAGTACACCATGATTTTTTGAGACAATAAAATGTGTGCATTTGCATATATGTGCCTGATTATGTCTCATTTTATCTGAAATCTCATTTAAATCCTGTTTCTTTTTCATCTTTTCCAAAATATGGACCATTTTCTATTTTCCATATCATTTCACCCATTCCTAATTTTATATTCAGGCAATATATCTGATGCTTCATTTTCAACGCCCTTGTTCTTCATTTAAACTTTTTTAGACTTTTATCTGCATCGTGGTACTGTACATAAATGCTTTCTACAGCTGAATGGTTTCTTTCTCCTAATGCATATAAAACATGGTTGTAGCTAGGTATTAAACTACAGTGGAACAGTATAGCTCATAGTAAATCCTTGATTTTTATTGCAGATGAGCAGTAGAAACTGCTTAAACAATGTCTAGGATGCCTCCTGTGATGAGAGGTTCTCTTACTACAGCAGTCACTTACAAATAGGCATATAAATTAACCCAGTTTGCAGGTTGTTATTATGTAATAATACCCTTACTTATATCATATGAAGCACATGCTTTTTAGTATATTGTAGGTATTAATATAAGTAGTGCTAGAAGTGTTGCAAAATTAGCGGTTACTCCTCTGCAATATCATTTCTTTTCTAGTGTGCAATGCACAATACCAGAATTCATCATCTGATGACCTGCAACACATTAGGCTTCCTAGGCACAATTGTGATGTAAAGCCAGGCTGATGGCTGAGATTTCAAACATGTCATTCTTCTCTGGAGGAAGAGAAGGTGCCAGGGCTGACATTTCATATATGTGTTATTTATTTATGCATCCAGAGCAGAGTTGTTTAGAAATCCAACAATGGTTGATTCAGCTTGTATTGTTCATTTCTGTTTTTCAGATCAATGCTAATGACAGCCTGTGACCTTGGAGCTGTGACCAAACCGTGGGAGATTTCAAGACAGGCAAGTCATGATTAATAGCAGGGCTGGGAAGAGGCGGGACTGGCAGGACAATATTCCCAGGGCCCTGGCTTAGAAGGGACCAAAACTGGAATCAATTTACAGCAGTATTAATGCTATTAAAAAATAGCAGGGGGTTTCTGCAAGAAATGGTTTATTGCATAATCTCTCCATGTACACATGCTGCTGAGCAGCATGTGTAGGTACCTGAAGAAATCTGGCTTTACAACCTCTCTTCTTATTAACCTTTTAAATCCATAACAAAAAATGGATGTATTAAACAAAAAAAAAAAGTATTAGCCACATGTAGCTGTTTTGTCCCAAAGTTTTCCTTGAGAGTGGCAGCATCTTCCCTATATCAAAAATCTCAGCAGATGATCTGCAAACTTTCATTAACGTAAAATCTTCAGTATATATGATAAATGTGTTCATTTTGTTAATACTGAAGGAAAAAAACCCGTAAGTTTAGTATAGAGTCTTTTTTAGCATCCTGTACTTAGAAACAAATAAAAACTCAGGCTTCTGCTGCTGAGTAGGCTCTTTAGAAACATACATAAAATTTGAGTCTAGCGTTGGCAAACAATTACAACATGAGAAAGCAACCTGTTGCAAAAGTCTTGTCTTTTTACCACATGACTGTCCCTCTTCTAGGCATCTTCCATGATCAGCATCCATCCTTAATATAGCCTGTATCCGTGCTAATAAATCTCTGTCCTTCACTGAGGTCCAGAACAAGCTAGTAGAAGGGTGTCTGTGTACATTTCTTGAGGAATACACAGCATCAAGAAGTGAATAGGAAATACACCAGCTGAATAGGAAATACACCAGCGCAGCTGAGTGTGGCTAAGCTCCTGGACAGCAAAGTGCTTGTTAAAAACATAGGGTGAAAAAAACCCCCCAGCTGGACTAGAGAACAAATGAGGCAGAAGCAGCCACATTTTTTGGACAAGGAGTTAACAGAAGATGAAAGGGACCTACAAAAGTTAGATTCACTTTAACTTAGTAAAGAAAACATTTATGTGGTGGAGGCTTAAGCTCAGCTTGAAGATGAGTCTTTTTTGCTTTTAAAAGAAGAATGTGACAACAGTCCTTCTATGGCTGTTCCCCTACTTGGCCAAAATATGGTCACGCCCCATGGAAATCAGAGAAGTTCCTTTTATGTTGCAGTGGGAAAAACGAGTGACAAGATTTTTCAGTGCCGCCTAGCCACAGCTGCAGTGTGTACAATCCTTCTTCATTTTTCCTCTTTAACCCAGTTAGTTTCTCTATTTTCTTTTGACTGCCAAAATGTCAGGTTGGGCCTGTGTTCAATGTTGTTAATCTTTGTTCTACAGTGTGGAATTGGTGCTGAAGTATTTAACAAACTGGCTTTTTATCCTTATCACTTTTGAAGCCTGCAGGTGAAAATCCCCCTGCAGCCTAGTGTACAGGTTTACCTTACATTGGAAAATCTAGTCTGGGATTGATTGAAAAATTACCTGGTTGAGCAGAGAGGCTAATAAATCCACAGAGGGAAAACAGAAAATAATTGGACCTCAACTGTGCCAAAAGAAAAATACATGAAAAGCGAGGGAGAAAGAGATTAAAATATATGGATCAAAGGGAATCCAGGCTACATATCAGAAGGCAAAATTTGGGAAGAGGAGATAGAAACAGACAAAAGAGGGAAAGGGACACAAGGAGAACAGGATCAATGAGAGACAGGGGTGAGATTAAGTCGTGATTATTTTTATACAATATCTTGGCGCAAACCCTTAATTGCTGCTAAGTTGTTAAATTATTCTTCTAGCTGGAGTATTGATCCAGAATTTTATTAGTGTGCTGGGATTACATACATTATAAAGTTCCAAATTGTGCGATAGCCTGGCTCGAGATTTAAGAGTACTTAATAACATCATTTCACCTACTTCCAATTTATTTTCGTACTCATTTGAACTGTAACAAGCAGTTGTGAATGTTAGGTACCAAGCAGTTTCTAGAACAAGAAATTCTGAGATTTTATGAAGTGCACGTTCTCCGTTTAGTTCTTCCTCTTGTGCCTTGGCATTATGACATGGTTTCCTAGCTGGAAAACACTTGAAAACAATAAGAAGGCATGACAGGAGCTTTAGGAACTGAATTGCATCTTCAGCAGATTAGTTTCTTTTTCTTGCATCTCATGTGTCAGACATGCCTACCTTCAAAGGCCCATGCATGAGAAGAGTACAGTTCATAAAGGCTACTATATCAGGATTGCTCACTGCTTGACCTCCTAAAATTCCTGTTGTTTCCATAACTCATTTTGCTTTTAAATCCTCTGTTGCTCTCAGAAGCACAAACCTCTGCTTCAGATAGAACATCTTCATTCAAAAAAGTCGAAAAACGCATTCCAATTTCCAACCCACCAGTTCTTGATTTTGATTCAATATGATAATCACAATCTGAGTTCATATTTATGTATTCAGATACTATAGTGATGATAGTTATAGGGGAAAAAGTAAAGCCTAATGGGGGAAAAAAACTTTATAATTTTACATTAAACTGAGAAAACAGAGGTTATTGGTTAGTTAAACAACTTCACATCAGAGAAATTTATGTAGGGCAACAGCCTGTAAATACCCAGAGAGCTCTTGCAGATTTTACAAAGCATTTTTACAGACCTAAGTGTGGATACCAACAAGAAGCTACAATTTCCTATTCTATTCTCCATATTTGAGTAAGTTCCATGTAACTTCACTGAGCACTACCTCAACATTGCAATATAATTTCCCCAGGTAGTTCCCTATCAAAAAGAAATAAGCATGCTTGTCAGCGGTTACAGCTTTTGTGTACCTCATCTATGCCCCATCCTGAAAACAAGTGCCTGACATCAGTCATGTCAGTGGGGCTATTCACTTCTTTAGAGTTAAGCACAGGCTGAAGTCCTGGTCTGAGCAAGAACTCCTTAACTGAAAAATTATGTAGCAAGAATTCTAATCTTTATTGTAATTTATGTTTTAGGCAGCTGAGCTGGTAACCAGTGAGTTCTTTGAACAAGGAGACAGAGAAAGATCTGAACTCAAACTCACGCCTTCAGTAAGTTTTTATCACTTCTGAAATAGTAATTACTGACTTGGGTAGGGTAAGAAAATGTCACTGGGTTCATTCAGTAACTAACTGCATTTTGAATGTAAAGAAAAAATTTTAAATAAATAAAAGCTTTGTCCAATAAGGACATGCATTTAGAGCCAAATGTAAAAATTCTCCGGTCAGCTCAGTCACATTTGCATTGAGCCCTTTCCCTCATTTTCTGTACCTATTCCCAAGGTGGTTATGACAGCTAATTTTCTAGCAACACATGGTATTAAAAAAAATCAATAGCTACTTATGGAAATCAAAATTGTCAGATTTACTTTATGCTGCAGCTGTCTATCCGTGTTATTTGATGTATCAAATGCTGAAAAGCATTTCTGTAAGTATACGACTAAATATAACACTGACTTAAAAGCATAAACTGTTATTGAATGGAATATAGGCAGGTAAGGTATCCAACTACTAAGAAAAAAGTTTCATATAGATTTTCAGTGAACAATGTGAAGAAAAAGCTTTATCCTGGTTACATACCTCAAAATGTTGTCAAGCAATTATCCAGAGGCAACAGGAGAAAAATAAAAAGATCGTTCAATGGCTCAGACTTGTTCTCCTTTTGATAATACTCACACATGAGCCTGCAGTGATGCAATGAAGTCAAAGTTAAAAAGTTTGTAGTAAATAATGCTCAGATACAATAAATGGCTTTTCACTTTGTATACTGTCAGAGGTTGGGAGTAGGTGATCCTGCTCTGGCAGGATCTGGACTAGATGATCTCTAGAGGTCCCTTCCAACTCTTAACATTCTATGATTAATGGGTTTCTTCCCTGTAGTAGTTCTGTGTGTACATCTTCTCAGAAAAAAATAGTAGCTCTAGTCCACTAGAAGATTAATCAGTCAGTCATGATATTCCCAATTCTGAATAACTGCAAGTACCATTCCATATAACAGAGATGTAAATACCTTTTCTGCCTCGTATACAAAATTTGCAAAGTCTGTTTCTCATGCCAATGAAGCATAATAGGAAGTAATTTTATTTCAACACACATTAATGTTACTGTCTTCAAGCAGCAATGAATTCCAGTGCAAATGGCCCAGGTCCAGCAACCTTAAGAATTATTTTAAGGTGTGCTATTGCATTGGCATTTTGGACATACTGTAGTAATAGTAGATGTGCAGAGAAAGACAAAAACCAGAGCTTTCTTCTGGCCTCAGACCAGAGCTGTCTTCTGAAAATCTGTATCGAACAGCTCAAACAGGTGGGAAAATGCTATAAATGTCTTCCCTATTTCCTCTTTCATAGGAGCCCTCCTACTCTGGGCTCTAGGCTGCAGTAATTTGTGGGCCACATGTAGGATGCTCTAAACCTAAGGGTCAAAATCATGTAGAGTTTTATTACATTAATGAGGAATTTTTAAACATCAAATGCTGATGTCTTTCATGACATATTGCTATGATAAGCCACCTAGCTAGGTATTGCTGCTAGTTAGAGAGCTGCTAGTCAGCAAGATAATCTTATTACTCAAGGATTCTTGTGTTGTGCTTATAACGATCTAAAAATTAGAGGATTTTTCAAAATTATTTGAATAGGAAATACAGAATTTTACAAAATCAAACCAAAGATTCTCATTTAAGATCCTAGAGTCCTTGAATCTTATCTCCTGGTCTTATTTAGATACATTGTGTGATACCTGTGTATGTCAGAAAGAGAAGGCTACAACTAGAAAAATTCAACTAGACATTTAATGTAATGTCATATATATGGTCTGGAGTTTCTAAAGGTAGAGAAGGAAAGTAAGTTTTCTCAGGAGATTTCGACCTCGAGGAGATGGACCCAGAGTAAGAGCAGAATTTCTACAGAAAGAGACAGAGAGATTTAAAATTTGGTGTATTCAGAGAGTAAAAAAAAGAAAAAGAGAAGGCATTCAGTAAATTATGTGAATAGGCCACTAGAAGGAGGATTAAAATCTCATAGACAGAAAGCTGATGGACCCAAGTAATCTCAGACAGAGTATGGAGAAAACAACTCAATGTCCAGATTCTGCAGAACTCAGTTTCTTCCATCTCCTTCCAGCCAAGGCTCCTTGAGCCTCTTAAATATCAGCTTCAACCTCTACAATTTCCTCTCTGAGCGAGTGCAGTGAGCAGTGAATTAGGCAGTTTCCAGAGGAAAAAATCCATAACTGCTCCCGAAATGGATCTGTTGATTCCCTCCCCTTTAGATTCACAGACATGGCTAGTTCTGCAGAAAGAGTTTGTAACTGGGAGGGAGGGAGGGAACCATCCCAGATCTATCGCTCTTCATTTTGCTAAGCTGGACAACCCTATGTGAGAAGAGGGAAATTTCTGCTCAGAGGTGTCTATTTAACATTTCTACAGGAGGTTTCTTACCAGCTCAACTCCACCTGTGGAGCATTAATTTTACATCACAGAATTGTAAAATTCAAATACATGCAGCCTATAAATTTCAAAATAGAATTGAAACTAAACAGTTTTCTTTCACGCCAGACAAAGCAGTAGGAAGACTGCTGTAGGGATTGATTACGGTTTACAAAGTGTTCTTGTTCTGAGAGTTTGACCATAGCTCCAAAGTGCTGGATGATGCGTCTGTAAACTACTCCAGTGTAATAAAGCATGACAGTTTTGTTCCCTTCTCAATTCAGGCCATTTTTGATCGGAACAGGAAAGATGAACTACCCAGGTTGCAGCTCGAGTGGATTGATGGCATCTGCATGCCACTGTATGAGGTAATTTTTACTTACTGCTCCTATAGAGCCCAGAGAAGATTGTTCTTGCCTCTCTAGGGAAAAAGAGTTAGTTTACAGTTCAGCCTTGAAGACTATTTGAACTCTTTGCTTTCTCTGACTTTACCACAAGTCTGGATTCTATGCAGAAATCTTTGATTCCCTGAAGGTGGTAATATCCATAAACCTAATTCCTCTCTATGTTATAAAAGATGATAGGGCAACTGTTTATTTTACTGTGTTTGAAACAAATTGATTTTGAAACTAGGTGTGGAGTGCTCTGCAGAGGGGTGCCAGAGGCTGGCCTCATTCGGTCCTGCTGTCAAACCCATCCAAAAATGTGTGACCCAGAACCAAAAGCTCAAAGCTGAGCCTTTGCACTCCCTTCTGTTTCCTTTCCCAACTGTTAAGGAGCACTATAGGCCAAGCTGTTAAGGTCAGTAACAAATGATCTGTGGTTTAACCTGTGTGCTGTTTAACTTGTAGTTTAGTCTTTTAATCATGCTTCTACACAGACTGTGTGGGTGCTTGGTATAAGGTGTGTAAGCTCTCAAGTACTATTTTATTAAGGCTATAGATGAATAATGCTTCTCTGTCTTTGGATTAAACCAGCTTCAGAATTTGACTTGTGTAACATAAGCTTTGCCATTTTAACTTTTCCTCTCTTATCAGTATAGAAAGCAGAGCCACAAGAGCAGGATGATAAATGGGAAATAACACTGTAGAAACTTAGTCATCAATAACTGCGCCAGCCAGTCTTCCTCCTACTCACTGAAACCACACAGGCTGCCTTACGCCACTAAAGACTGCCAGTTTGGCCATTGGTATCTGGGACGACCTGGGGATGTTCTCACGAGGCATTCTGGGGGAGAACTGCAACCAGTTCTCCTGTTAGTACTGCACCTGAAACTGCCTCACATCGCCAAGCAATGAATGGGGCAGTGACGACACAAAGCCAAGAGCTGGGAAGCAGGTACCACCTCCCATGTTAACATTAAACTGATGAACTTGTGCCTGAATACAGCTTCCATACACACAAACAAAAATGGGTTGGCAGTCCCTTTTCATTTTATAGACCAGATATGTCATCAATAGCACACAAGTAAGAAGGATTATGTGCTTCCCCTGCCCTCTACACCTTGGGGTATCTGAGGCTGCCACTTGGCAATAATGAAGTGATGGCCCCAGTGCAAAGGCAACTCCTGTTGTGTGACAGGGACAGCACACACTTGTGCAAAGAGAGAGGTGGGCTACTGCTTTGCCAGTAGACCCTGTCCCTTTCTTAAGTCAGTCTTTATTGTGATGAAATAAACTAAAGCCATGGCTTTCAAACAATTAAGGAAAAGAAAGCACAGACACAGAAGAAGAATACAAACCTGTATTTTTTTAAAATACGTAGATCATTTTGGAAAAATACAGTGAGGGGAACTGACCTTGGATAAAAACTCTTCTAAAATAAAGTTCTTTTCAATATAATAGTTAACATTATACCAGAATGCATATTATACCAGAATGATTTGTAATAGCATCCGTAGTCCAAAAATGTACGATAAAGCAAGAAGAGCTGATAATCAGCCCATCCTCGGCATGCAAAGACTACTTCTGAGCGCTAAAGCTCTGGTTAGTTAGCTCCATCTTAGCAGGAGATCTCTGGGGAATATATTCACATCTGATTTCCCCGCTTTCTGCTGTCTTTGCATCATGCTGTGCAGCTATTAGCCTGCTGCTCAACAACTTAAAAAAGAGACACTATCAAACCTGGAAGTCATTGCAGCATCAGCCTTAGGGATAAACAGAAGACTTGATGTCATAGTATCACACTGCAGGAGATTCTCTCTTCAATGTGGAGCCAAGTTTTAATTTTCATATCCAGCTTAATCAAACCTCAATACGCTTTTCAAATCAACAGTGTATTGAGGCGTCGTAAATCCTCTGTTTAAGGCTGGCTTAATACTGCATCTATGGCCAAGTCCTAGACTTCTTTTTTTTTTTCCTCTTTCCAAATCCATTCTTTAAAATTCTAGACATTGTAATACGCTGTAAGGACTGCATGTGGGGAAAGAATGGGTTACATCATTACAAATGCAACATAAAGAGGCAGAGTGGAAGCTGACAAATTAGTAAGATCTTGGCAATACTTATAGATCTCACTAGCATAGTGCTTATAAAAACCGTATGTTTGAAATAAACATTTGACACTCATTTTGATACCAAAATCACAACATTAAACCATAGAGAAACAACCCCAAGGCTTTTGCATGTTGTTTTTTTTTCCATGCTAGTGGTTAGAAGTCCTGAATCCATGTGGGCAGATCCTAGCACCCAGAGCCCTGAAGGGAACTCTTGTGAGGAATGCCTGTGACCTTACCAGTGCTGTGCTCTCTGTTACTTGACAGCCGCACAGCAGAGATGGTCGCTGTAACCCACGAACACTCACAACTTCCATTAAAGTCAGGCCGGAGATCAACAGAGCCCCCTGAAATTTTCTTTGCTCAGAGTTGTTCCCAAGAGTAAGCTATTCCTGACAGCTGCAGATGTCTGAAGTACGTGATTTAGAAGGAACATCACAACTCAAGTTTCCAAGAATGGTCTGATGCCACCTCAGTGCCACTGACTGTACTGTAACAAACCGTATCTTCTCCACAGTCCAAGCTTATGGGCTAGGCTACAAACCAGAGTGCCCACGAGGAATGTTTCGTGCCTAAAGCGATATATAAACTTTGCAGCGCGTATTAGAGAGTTATAGCCTTCCTAGCCTTATTTTGTTTCTCCATTCTGAAACACGCTGTGGGACTTGAACAGTGTTCTGGGGACATTTGGCTCTACTCCTCCCCGTCACGCATCTGCTCTGCATTTCCTTAAAGTAGCTCAAGACAACCCACTTTGAGGTGCAGTTCTTGAGAGAAGGACAATGTCGTCTCCTTTATTAGGGCATATGTATCACATCCCTTTGCCTACCTGGCTAGAATTTACCAGCTAGAACTGGCTAAACTTCAGAGTTTAGCACCTTTTTTTATGAGAAGACTTACTTACAAGTGACTAGAAAATTATTAAGATCTGTCCACCTTCCATTAGCAATCCTGTTTGCTGCTTGGAATGCCCATCTGACCCAGAACAAAGAACATCAAATATACAAGACCGTGCTACTTCATAAGCTAACACAGATCTTGAAGCTGAATAGAGATACCTATCACATATATATAACAAAAAAATATTAACCAGGAATTATGCACAGCTAGATTTCCCATATCTAATTGTCTAAACCCAAAACCTTTTGTGTTTGCTCTGTAAGCCTGACTCTGCTTTTGGCACAAGGTAAGCCATGGCTCTGCTCCCTTGCTCTCTCCCACATCTGCTGCTCAGTGTAGGAATCGAGCCACCTCCAATTTCAAAATACGTTGATAATCAAACCTGTTTCCTTCACACTGTGGATCAAAGGTTTGTGAAAATAAAAGCTTTTCAATTTTTTGTTCATTGCTTTTTATTACACTTGGGACATTATGGTTTTATTGAATTTACTTTTTCTGTTACTGTGGTGATCACTGATCAGAGTATTTTTATGTGACAGTGGAGTTTTTGCCTTGAGAAGCAGAACATCCACCCATTTGCTCTGAAGCTCTGATTTTAGGGGCTTTAGTTACACTTTACTGCATCACACTTGCTCTTGTTTCAAAAATGCCAAGAAGAAAAATGTTCATCAATAAGGATGAGAAACAGACTTATTAGAACAATAATTTAAGGAAAAATGCTTTTTTTTTGGAACTGGAGAGCATTTAAAATCTACTAATGTAGTTTCAGTATGAAGTAGTCCTCCCCTTTATTTTGTTAGAATATTCTGTAAAGGGGAAGCACATGCAACTTGAGCAGAAAATCTAAGCCATCCCTCTGAAAATAAAACACTGGCTACACTGACAGCTGTGCTCACCACACAGAGAAAGTATTCTGTGCCATATACATCTGTGTAACAGGAAACAGAATTTTTTTTTTTATCATTAAGACAAATTACGTCTGACGTTCCAGTAAAGAGGTGCTAAGAGTTTCAGCACTAACAGATTTCTCTCCTGGACTCTCTGACTTGTGTATACCTAAAACAGGATCAGTCACAGATTTTTCCCAACTCAGATTAGATTTCTCCGTGGGGAGCAGAGAGTGGGAGAGTGAAGATCTTATTCTTTTTAATCATTATTTTTCTCACAAACAACATCAAAGCTTCAGTGATTCACATCAAACAAAAGATGCTAACAGGATCCCAGCTCTGTTCACAGCATTGTTGGGCAGAGACAGCAACGCTATGAAAAGCAGGGCCAAAGGCCGTGCACTCTGCTTCTGGGCAGATAAATACATAGTCAGGTAGTCAGTGACAATGACAGCAGCTATTTAAATTTAAGGAAGATGTCTTTGTGAAAGCTAAAGAAGCTCACAGCTTTTACAACTTAATGCGTGCCTGAGATGATTGCCCTGCTCACGTCTACCTTGGTGCTCCATTGAACTGCTCTATTTTAGTGCTGTTTTTAGTGCTATTCAGTATTTTCTTGGGTATTGAGAGCTTTAAACATATAATAGTATCTACAGAAGTGAATTTGCACTACTCCATCCAGGATTCTAGGGGAATCCTGGGAAGAGTAAGAACGATGTTTAGCCTGGCAAGTACTTTAAATATTGTGAATGGAATGTGGAGGGACAGAGCCCTTCTTAATCACATTGTTTGACATACTTAGAAAGAAATCTAATCAGTCTGTCTACAACTCCAAGACCTCTGATATGTCTGTCTTTCTGCAAAAGATAATGTCTGGCCTTGTAATTAAATCTATCTTTAGAGTGTGATGATGTAGCTGCAAAAGCATCTCTGCTTGTAAGCATACATTAAATGCACAAGGTATCACAAATGTTAGAGCCTCTACAAAGCATAGAAAAAATACACACATCTCTAACAATCACAGCTATCTCTGTGCTTTAACTTATCCAGTTTAAGAGTTAACTTTGACACCTGAATTGGGAGTACA